AATTTGTGCTGGGAAAATCCAGATAAGGTCTGACAAAGATTGCTGGAACATTCAGCTTTGAAGAATGAGTGGGATTTCAAGAAGCAGACACAGGAGGTAATCCATTCCTGGTGCTGAAGGGTTCTAGCATCATCTAAGTACAGGAAAGGGACTGGGTGGGATATGTTGGATCCCCACAGTAATGCTGTATTTTCATAACTATCTTACATCCTCTAGATATTTGTTACAAGGTGTTGGACAATTTTACTGACACTGTGGAGTAAAGATAACTAATGGTCTGGCGAGGGGCCAAGTGAATGGTCAGCTCAGAGTTTACTGTGGTGATCAGCTTACACAACCTCTAGTTGAGGGCTGTTCTTGTGGGAGACTGCAGAGTTTCGGGAACTAACTAGGTTGGCTTACACATTTATTGTCTTTTATGTCTCAGGTACTATTCTAGGCAGTGGAAACATGGCAATAGATAAGATAAACTGTAGCTCTGCTTTCCTGGGGGCCAATTTTCTGGTACAAAAGATGAACACTAAAAAAGGTGAACACACAGATTTCAAGATGACTTCCACTGTGATAAGCGATATATATAATAGGTTGTGATAAGTAAGGAAGTGGAAGGAGGGGCCTCACTGAAGGATGAGAAAAAGCAGCGGAAAACCAGTAGGCAGAAATCATGAATAAGCAAAAACAATTAGAAGCAGAAGATAAATAAATGAAGAGCCAAAGAAGTGAAGAGTTTGCAAACTAACAAGAAGTGCTTGTGAGTTCCCATAACTAGTGTTTGATTTCTGACTTCCATGGCTCCTTTTGTCACCTGAATGTATGCATGTGTGCCATCTGCCATCTTTATTTATCGTATCTGTAGCTATCCATCTCTATCTCAGTCATCTAAAACCTATCTATCTATCTATCTATCTATCTATCTATCTATCTATCCGTCTACTTATCTGTCCATGGTTCTATACACCAATTCAATCATTTCCATATTGAGGGAAGCATTGTTGCCAGTTTTACCTCTTACGAACAATATTGCAGTGAACATTCTTGTACACACTTTCTCCTGTACATATGCAGGATGACTGCATATAACTGGATTTGGAATTGCTGGGTGGTAAAAGATGCCTACAGCTTAACTGCATTATAAAATTGCCTTTCAAAGATTTTTTAAAAATAAAAAATATGTACACTGTCATGGTCAGCCTTTAAAAGAGTTCCCTATCTAGTGGGTGCAAAATGGTATCTCACGGTTGTCTTAATTTACACTGCTTTGATTGTTGGTTAAGGGGTACATCTTTATAAGCTTATTGGCCATTTGGGTTTCCTCTTCTTCTGAGAACTGCTATTCTTTGGCCATTTTTATATAGGTGGTATGACTTTCTTGCTGATTAGTAGTATTCTGAATACAAATACTTTTTGATCATAAACATTGGCTTGTCATTTAACTTCATGGTTACTTTGGTTATGAAGTTTTAAATTGTATTGTTTTCAAATTTATCAATCCTTTCCCTTTATGGGTACGCTTTATGAGTTCTCTTTAGGAATCCCTCAACTTGTGGTTATAGAGCTCAGACCTAATATTTTCTTATGCATTTTATTCATTTATTTACACTTGAGTGCTGCAGCAAGGCAGTATGTTGATTGCCAAAGATACAAATGTGAACTAATGTCTGTAGCTTATATCAAGCTTCACACTTTGTGCTGCCCAGTTCTATGGGTGCAACACAAAAATACCACATATCTAACATTCTAGTATCACACAGAAGTTTCACTGCCCTAAGAATCCCCTATGCTCCACTCCTCTCTCCCCCTGCCCTAACCCCTGACAACCACTGATCTTTTTATTCTCTATATAGGTTAGCCTTTTCTAGAGTGCCATATAATTCCTCTTATGTATTTTTGTGACTTGATCCCTTTTTTGCCCTTCCCTCTTTGTTTCCCTTCTTTCCCCTTTCCTCTCTCCCTCCCTCCCTCCCTTCCTTCCTTCTTTCCTTCCTCCCTTGTCTTGAATTCCTCTCGGGCTCAAGTCATCCTCCAAGCACAGCCTCCTGAGTAACTTCATTTCCTTTTATCACTGAATAATGTTCATTATATACATATAGCACAATTTTTTATTCATTCACTTATTGAAGGACATCTTGGTTCCTTTCCAATTACTGTATAAAGGTTCTGTAAACATTTACATGCAGATTTCTATGTGGAGATGTTTTCAACACACTTACGTATACCAAGGAGAATTGGTGGATTGTATGGTAAGACTATATTAGTTGTATAAGAATCTGCAAGACTGTCTTCCAAAGTGGCTGTGCTGTTTGGCAGTGATGAATGTTCCTGTTTTTCTGCATCTTCACCAACATTTGATGCTTATCGTACTTTGGATTTTGCCACTCTAATATGTACATAGTGGTATCTCACCGTCTAAAGTTGCAATCCTTGACAACATGTGATATTGAACACATTTATAACAGATGCTGTTTGCTGTTGTTTGTGTATCTTCTTAGGTTTTCTTTTTTTTTGGTGGGACTGGGGTTTGAACTCAGGGCTTCAAGCTTACAGAGCAAGTGCTTTACCACTTGAGCCACACCTCCAGTTGTATTGGTGTATCTATTTGTTCTGCTCCTTTGAACATTTTAAAATCAAGTTTGTTTTCCTATTTGATTTGATGAGTGTGCTTTGTATATGTAAGGTTTGTGTCTGGATTCAGTTCTCCTGTGTGTACATATCCAGTTGTTTCAGAATTATTCACTGAAAAGGCTATACTTTCTGTGCTGAAGTGCCTTTAGTTTTAATCCATTACCAGTTAACTATATTGGTGTGGATCTACTTCTGAACTTTCTATATTTGGTTCTATTGATCTACTTATCTATTCATTTGATAATACCACAATGCCTTACTCTAGCTTTAAAGTAAATCTTGAAGTTGTATACCGTCTTTGAAGTTTGGCTATTTTGAGTCTACTGCCTTTGCACATAAACTCTATAATCGGTTTCTTGATATTCATAACTTACTGTGATTTTGAATAGAATACATTGAATGTATAGATCAAGTTAAGAACTGGTATTTCTTGCATGTTTTTCAAGTTTTGCTTTTAACTTCAGGTTTTTACTATTCCCAGAACTAATTTTTATGAATAATGAGGTGGGATCATCTCTACCCCATACAATTGTTCCAGTAGTTTCTTGAATCATCCTTCCTTTTAATGTTTTTATTTTTCATTTTATTAGATTAAAAAGCACAAGGAAGCAAGTAGTAACTAGGGAGAAGATGAGGAAGGGATAGAGAGGATTAGGCAAAGATAAGAGATGACAAAGAAGAGAAGCAGCAAGAGGGGAAAAGGTCAAGAGCCCAAGCGAGGTTTCCACATTCTTTCAATTTTTAATGTCACCATTGTTACAGTTGAAGTTTTCATATGCCTGTAAGTATTTTTCTTGGGCCTGTGTTATGTCTTACTGGCTTATTTGCCTATTGCTAAATCAACATGTAATAACCACTGGTAAAAATGGGGCCTCCCAACCCTGCCTACCCCCTCCACAAAATTGTGGTAGCTTTTCTTGAACCTTAAGTTTTGGTATGAATTTGGTATGAATTTTTCCATGAAAAATCTTGTTGCTATTACATTATATTTATTGACTAGTTGAGGGACAACTGAGGACTTTTCAATGGTTATATTTTCTTATTTATGAACACAGTTCGTTTCTCCCTTAATACAATTTCATCTGTAAAAGTCTTTCACATTTTTGTTAATTTTATTCTTAGGCATCTAAGTTTTTATTTTCCTAGTTGTTTAGTTTCCTAACCTTGTTTAAAATTACAAACTACTGCAGTTCCCCAAATAAATTTTCACAACTGTCTGCTAAATCATTGTAGTTGAAAATGTAGTATTAAATTCTTAAAATGTCAACAGATTAATAAAAACACATACAATATATAGCAAAATACAAGAGATACTATTTGATAAGTGGAAGCATTTGTATGTTGATATTTTCCCCCAAATTGGGTGGAATGCATATATCTGTTCTTGTAGTGTGTAACTTTCTTTTCTTTTCTGTGCTGGGGACTGAACCCAGAGCCTGACTTGTATTGTGCATGATGAAAACAAAAACAAAACCCTCAAGGCAAACAAACAAAAAAAATCCCAAACCAAAAAAAAAAAAAAAAGTCTGGAAAATGTTCAATCAACTTTCTTGCTGTATTGTAAAACTCGATTTCCAACCTTTTTAGTTTGAGATGTTTACTGTTATGCTTGAAGTATTTCTCTTATGATTTACAAAGTTCAGCAGGCTTTTTCTAAATACAAATTTATACTAAGGATGTTATACAAAACATTTACTTGAGTCCAGTTAGGGATTTAATTTACTACTAACAAACGTATACACCATGTACTAAATGCTGCAGAGAAGCCAGGTTCCGAGGTCAGATCCCAGTCCCTTTTCTTCCATCATAAAAGTGAGAAGTACATTAGGTCACTTGTGGACGATGCAGTTTCAGCATTTCCTTAACAGGGGAAAGAAGGAGCTGTTGTAAGACCCTAAAGGTTTCAGGGTGACAGATGTGAGTCCTAGGGCCTACTGGGGCATCCTGACGGTCATGCAGTCACTCTATAACTTGCTCTTCCAGGCTTTGAATAACTCTCAGTATGGTCACATATTTCACGCTTCACTAAACTGGCCCCAAATGCCGTGATCTTTATATACTAAATCCTAATGAGGATTTAGTTTCTGACCCCACAGCAGCAGTTCCAGGAAAGGGGCGACCCAGTGAGTCCCGTTCACCCAGCCCCAGGCCAAGTACAGAGCATGATGCTAGGGTCACCTCAGGACATATCTCTCACGTCCCCAAAGCCCCAGGGACTAACTCAAGCCCCTCCTGAGTTAAAGCCTCCAAGCCTCGCGAGCTGGAGCCCCGCGTGGGTCCTGCGAAGCCCGATCTCCGCCCTTTGTGCCGCGAGCTCCGAGGCGCGGCCCGCGCCTGATGACGCAACAGAGGCCCCGCCCCCCGGCGGGACGCCAGCGTCAGTCCAGTCCCGGCATGCTCCGCGCCCGGCCGCGGTCGAGTGCAGAGAGGCATCGTCCCGTGAGCGTCCCTCTGTCGCTGCAGCCTCTGTCCAGAGCCGGGTCGGCGACGGTGCCGCCCCCCAGTCGTTCTCCTGCCGCTCGCCCGTCCGTCCGAGCGCCCCCAGCCCTCCCACGAGGGCGCCCCGGGACGGAAGGAACCAGCAGCCTGTCGGCGCCCGCCGTTCTCGTGGTCGCCGTCGCCGTCGTCGTCGTGGTCGTCTCCGCCGTCGCCTGGGCCATGGCCAATTACATCCACGTCCCGCCTGGCTCCCCGGAGGTGCCCAAGTTGGACGTTACGGTTCAGGATCAGGAGGAGAAGCGCTGCCGGGAGGGCGCCCTTAGCCTCCTGCAGCACCTGCGGCCGCATTGGGACCCCCGCGAGGTGACCCTGCAGGTAACGCCCCCAACCCCGTCTTGCCTTGCGGTCCCCGACGCCGCCGTCCCCGCCCTCCCCCATCCGCCGCGACCCAGAGGCCTGCGGGACGCCCACTCCCCGGCCTCGCGAGGGCACCCCGTGCCCCTCGATCGCACCTGGCAAGGTCAGTCCCTTCCCTTGTTAGGGTTGCCCCGAGGGTAGATGTGCCTTTCTAGAAGCCGCTATGCAGTGACGCACCGGGCCACCCGGGGAGGCTCGTTCCTGTCGCCTGATCCCTGGACCCGATCCGTGCCAACAGTCGAGCGACCTGGGTCCACCCTCCCTTCGCCAACCCCTTGCCCCCAGGGTCGGTCCCCGCCCGCCGCCCCTGCCATGAAGAATGCAGGAATTAATCCTCTCCAGTTCCCATTGGTGCCCTGTTAGGCATTTTTATCTTTTCCAGTCCTCGGGTTAGCCCAGGTAATGACCATGGCCTTGCATTCCTGAGCAGGTTTTCAGGCAACAGTATCTGCATCGTTTTGCTTGCATTGGTATTTTCAAAAATTTTGAAGTTATCTTCCTAGAATTAATTATCTGATGTTAGAATTTTATTCCTACATACAAAAAAACTGGGAGGAAAACAATTCCCTAAGAATGTAGGAGTCTTAATATCATCTTGGAAGTTAGGATTTCCTTATCCATAGCGTTCATATTGAATGATTTGGTTTTAATTTTTTTGTAATGTATTGTTTGGGAAATTATGTGCAAGAATGAATTTCCCTTTCTCATTTTTCTTGCAGGCAAACAAACAAACAAAAAAACCCCCAAGTCAATAGTAATGTTGAAGGCTGGGGTATATGGGGTTTGTTTTAGATCTGAGCAATAATGTAAGGACATTTGTTTGAATTAATCAAATCGTCTGCCTCATTTGATGACGCCATTCAATAAATTGTTGCATTAATTCAGCAAGATTTATTGACTTAATTCTTTGCTCAAGTAGCCAGCCACCTACACAAAGATTCCTGATACTTGCTTTTCTAAGTTTTAGTTTCATTTCTTACTGTCTAGAGGAGTTCTGAGCAGATTGAAAGGACTCATATGTTATGGAAAAAAACTTGCTAGTCCTGAAATTTTAAAAAATGTGTTTTTCTTGGCTAAGAATATAGGAAATAGTAAAGTCAAAATGATTTTCATGTATAATTTAAAAAAATTAGTATATTTCCTTAAAGGAAATATCTTGCAAGTTGAAACTTGTACTTGTTTATTAATTTATTTTGTGGTGCTAGGGGTGGCACCCTGGGGCATTTTGAATGTGCTGTACTACTGAACTGTATCCCTAGCTCTCATTGATTTTATTTAGCATGTTATTTGCTAACTTTTAGTTTTATTTTATGAGGTTCCAAAATTTATTAAAATGATTTCTGTCAGTCAGTGATAAATTAAACATATCTTTTATTAACTAAAGACAGTGCTACTTCCTGGTAAGCGCTGGTGCTGGCAAGTCATGTTATTTTTTTATGCAGTGACTTTAAAACTGGAAGCTTTGAAGATTGGAATTTCCTTTGATTTGTCTGTAGAATCATATTACAGCTATGAACTGACTTTTTTTTTTAAATCATCTAGTAGCTTAATAACCCTATTAGGTAAGTACTATCTTTTTGGGTGAAGCTCAGTGAAATAAAGACATGATGCAGATAAGAAGGGACAAAATGTGTTAGCAAACTGGTTTTGGTGGTTGTAAAGTTATCTAGCTACTATTGAATCTTGGCTTCTCTGTGGCAACTTTTTTCATTACTTGTTTTTTTTTTTTTCCTTTGAGGCAGTGTGGCTGTGTAGCTCAGCTTGTCCCAGAACTTGAGATTCTCCTGCCTTCGCCTCTCCAGTACTGGTGTTACAGAGATGCACTACCATGCCCATCCTCTGTAGAAACCTTTAACTTTGACCTTCGGGTTCATAATCCAAACTTCTAATGTACTTATTTGTAAGTGTTGGTAAATATTAGCACTTATTCTGCCCTGAGGATGACTGCTTGTTAGAATACATTCCCTCCTTGTATAGCAAAGCCATTTCATTCTAGAAGCAGGGATATCAATAAGCTGAATTGATGGCTATTTCCCTGTCAACTCAATAGATTGAACTTCTCTCATTCTAGGTTATTATAAACTAATGATGGTTCGGAATTTCTTTAGTCAATCTCAGTGGGAATATTTTCCTTGGAACTATAAGGATAAAAGTCATGCCTTTGATTTCAGAAGGGAAAACATCTAGTCAACAGATTATAATGCTATTTTAGGACATCTGGGTATTAGCTTGCTTTTTTTTCCCCCAAAATTTAAGAGTTTTTATGTGTTTAGAATATGCTTTAAGCATGTTTTGAAAGCTTTTTTATAGTAATACTTATCTTCCTGGTAATTACTCAAGCAAGCTGAACTACCCAGAATATATCAGAAAATCTAGAAACAAACAAAATCTTGAATGCAATGAAAATGATAGTGGGCCTAGTCTTTGCTTAGAACTTCTGGGCAAATGGACTAATATATAATATATCCCAGTTTGGACAGTGATGTCCTTACGCAGTGAAAGAGTGAAATTTCAAGGGGGAGTAGGCAGAGTAGCTGGAAGACAGTCTTATAAGCCACTGTGCTTCATGTTTAATAGTAATTTGCTGTTCTAAAGCACTTTCACCTGCATTCTTACAAGTATCCTGTAGATGTAGACAAGTACTGTTAATGTGTGTTCTGTAGTGAGTGAAACTGAACTTGAGGTTTGTAAATGACAGATCTGGGATGAAAACTTGTCTTATGAATTAATTGCTGTTTGACCAAGAAAGGGTTATGTTTCTATATTATGATTGAGGCAGGGGAGCCACATCTGTGTACATTTAGTTTCTTAAAAGGAAAAAGCTTTGGCTCAGAAAAAGAGTTTGCTTCAATGTCTTTTGAACATAAATTTACATTCTTTTTTTTTCTTTTTTTCTTTTTGCAGTACTGGAGTTTGAACTCAGGGCCTATACCTTGAGCCACTGTACCAGCCCTTTTCTGTGATGGGTTTTTTTTCAAGATAGGGTCTTCCAAACTATTTGCCTGGGCTGGCTTCAAACCATGGTCCTCCTGATCTCTGCCTCCCATGTAGCTAGGATTACAAAAATTTGCATTCTTTGTCCCATGTGTGCTATTGTTTCAGAAAAGGATAGTCACGCCTTTTCTGTCCCTCCCCTGAGTTTGGATTTTTCGGTTTATCTACATTTTTTTTGAATAGTAATGATGTAAAGGAAGAATCAAGTCAGATCTCTTAGGTCCAACAGAATTCTTTTAACTTCTCATTCTCATTATTACTATTACTATGAGACAAGGTCTCACAGTATAGTTCAGGCTGGTCTTGAACTCACCATCCTGTTATCTCAGCCTCCTTAGTGCTTAGATTGTCAGTGTGTGCCACCATGTCTGGCTAAAGTTTTTCCTTCTAAAATGCATGAGTTAGTGCTCTAGTCTAGTATGCTTAGGGTCTTTCTGTTTGCAGTGTTGAACAATGCTATTTGTATCATCAGGATGCTACTATGGTATATCTTTTCTTAACTTGGGACCTGTAGTACATAATGGCAAAAGCTTGATAGTAGACCATAGTTGTTATGTAACATTGTAAAACTAACATCTATTCTTGCTATAGGGTCTCAGTGGGATTGCTTATATATACTTAGTTTTTCAGTAGGGACATATTAGTAGAGGTCAAGGGCAGGGGGTTTGACTACCAAACTGGTTTTGAGTCAGAGCTGTGTACTTTACCACCTTTGTTGCCCTGGTTAAGTTTCTTAACCTGCCTCAGTCTCAGCATCCTTACCTGTAAAGGAAATCCCAGTAGCAGTTCCTGCCCATAGCATCATTGGTGCTTCGAGCACCTACTTTATACTGAATGCCTGAATCAGAAAACATCTCTTTGAAATTCATAGTCTGATAAGGAAGACAATAAGAAAATAAAATGTAGTGTTTGTAGAATATTATGCAAATTTTTTCACATGCACAGATTATGCAAGAGCATTTAAAAAGTGTATTGTTCTTCTTTATCATAAATTTTCTTTTTTGTTTGTTTGTTTTTGTTTTTTTCAGTGCTGGGGATTGAACCCAGGGAGTGAGGCAAGAGCTCTCCCATGGACTGCAATCCTCTTTTTTATGCCTCCCATGTAGCTGAGATGTCAGGTGCATGCCCCCAGGCACAGTCATTGGTTGAGATGGGGGATCTCATGGACTTTTTGCCCTGCTGGGCCTCAAACTGCAATCCTCCCTATCTCTGATCTCTGCCTCCTCAGTAGCTGGGATTATAGGATTGAGCCACCCTGGCTCAAATTTTCTTTTTTAAAAATTACTCATATATTTATTAAAATGTAACTATAGAGTCAGGAGCTTCAAGTGCTAGTTAATTTTCAGGTGTTAACACGTGTGTTACTTTGACTAAACAATTTCTTTTTGAGGCCATTGCATCATGTGGTGGAAAGAGGATGGTTTTGAGTCTTGATTTCAGATGACTGTACAAAATGGAATTACTGCCTACCTAGAAAAGCAGTCCTGAGGTTGGAAGAAATACTGAAATAATGTACAGCATGTTTCCGGGCTTCCTTCCTCCTCTTCTCTTCCACTTTCGTAAACGGGAGAGTTGAGCTGGAGGAATCATTAGCTCCTACAATTAGGACACAGGTTTTTGTACCAGGCATACTGATTTTCAACTGGATTCCTTTGCAGCACTAACTGTAGCACAAGATAGACATAGGAGAATTAGAGCAGAGGTTTCATAAAAGTGGGGGTTTTGCTGGGGATCAAACCCGTGGCCTCGTCCATGCGAGGCTTGTGCACTCATTGAGCTGCCCCCCAGCTGAGAGCTGAGCTTTGAAGGAAAGACATGATTAGCTGGAATGGGAGATCATTTCTGGCAAGGGGAACTGTTTCACAAAGGCAGTGAAACTAGACTCTGAGGAAGAAAAGAAGAGGGAGTGCTTTCCAAGGGTGAGATTAAATAATGAGGTTCTGTGACTCATGAAGGAGTTGGTA